GTGCGGAAAATTAAATCGAGCGCAAGTTTAGGGTTTTGACCCTTTTGTTATTAAAGAAAATATTTTTTTTTTGTTTTTAATTTTAATAAATAAAATATCCTAAATTAAATATTAAATTAAATTAAATTAATTAAACTAATTAATAAAAATAAATATTTTTTGGGTTTTTGTGTTATTTAAAGAAAGAAAATAAAATTGATCAATGTTAATAAAAACCTAATTATGTCTAAGTTAATTTTAATTATTGAAAAAAATATATTAAAGTTATTTCTAATTAATGGCCTAAATTAATTAATTGATTTGTTAAAAAAAGCTAAAATTTAATTTAATAAAGAAAATAATTATTTTTGTGGTTTTAATTTTATAAGGAAAAAGATTTGATTGGTTAATTAATTAAACAAAATATTATAAAGCAATTAAAACAAAAATAAATAAAAGAGGGTTAGAGATGTATGGGCCTGAAAAAGGGGGTCAGAATTGCAATTCCAAGGCCCATTAGGCGCTGGCCCTGTTGACTTTATGGATTCCCTATGCGCGCTTGGACTTGGTCCATGGTAGACCATTATCCCTTGGCCATCAGATCTGGCCTATGGCTATCTGGCCACCAGATGTTATAGGGTGTATGATGTGCTTCGCGTTTGGACTTGCATGTGATAACCTGAAGAATTAAAACAAAGAAAAATTTGGAGGACCTGGGATTCGAACCCAGGTCCTGATGGTATTTGAAATGCTTGCATCGCCACTAGGCCATTATGCTTCATCTGTTAATATAATAAACAATAAAGCTAATATGCCAAAACAATGATTATTGGTCAGAAATAAAAAAAAAGCGCGCGCGATTTGAACACGCGAATGGGAGAACGACACGCCATCATCCCTGTCGTTGAAACCTGTAACATATTTACCTGCGGATTTGAATCCGCAACTAAAAGCATAGGTTCATCCTAAAACTCATCTCAGGCTATATAAATTCCTCCCAAGACCATGGATGCATTCATCTTCCTCTCCCGGTCACGTCCATGGCCATCATTAAGGCTAATTTTACCTGTAAGAGAAATACCCAAAAACAAGCCACAAAACCCTAGCTATGGTACCTCACAGCATAGGCCACATAAACGAAATTGGATAATACAGAAAGCTTGGAAACTTGATGAGGATTATGAATATGCAAATAATTTGTACAAAAGATCCAAGAATAAAGATTTGTGAATTCAAGAAAGAAGCGATTTTTTGTGACACTTACAGTGCTTTTAGGCGTGTATGGGAGCTTGCTTTGGGTTGGTTTCAACTCAGTGAACCTCCAGGAATTGATTGAGATGCTTCTTGGCCTCTGAAATTACCTATAGACACGATGTTGATTTCACACTTTTTACCACTTTTTCAAGTTTTGTTTGGTTGGTTCTTGCAGCCTCTAACCCTCTTTTCGTGCCCTCTAGCTTCCTTATGTATTATAGAATGCATTAGGTTGAGAATTATGGATTGAATCCTGCCACATCAATGCCATAAAATTTGATTTGATCCACCATTACTAAACCTTCCAAAATTGTCAAAACACAATCTTTTTGCACATGGATTGTTTGATACGAATTTGATACTCTTAATGATGATGATTCAGTCCTGAAAATAGCAAAAAATCTCATGTAATCAAGTTTTGGGATTTAATTTGATTTAATTTGATTAAAAATGAAATAATTCAATAAAAAATCAGATAAAATAATAAAATTGATAAATGGACACAAGGCTGAAGCTAGGACACATGTGAAATGGTACAAGCTCAAATCAAGTGGAAAAGAATGGGCCCATTTGACAAAATTTGAAGTTTTGGGGATAGTTTACTTTTGGCAATTTTGCAAAAAATGTCCAACTTCAACAATGCATAACTTCTTCAATTTTGAGCTTTTGGAGGTTTTCTTGGACTTTTTAGAAAGCTTGATATGTCCTCTAACCAAACCTTTTGGTCGCATCTCATTTTTATATTCCATTATCAAGTTATAAGCTTTGGCAAAAAAGGTGTTTTTGTTGACTTTCAAAAATGACCTATAATGTCCAAATTTATAACTTCTTGTGAGTGCATTTTCTGATCTTGGGGTATGAATATGGATTGTAGGAAATTGAATCCTCTTCAAAATTAGCTTTGTATGGGTCATTTATCATAAAGTATGAGAAAGTTATGCTTGGTCAAAGTTGAGTTGACTTTTCCTACAAAACCCTAATTTAGCAACTTTTGAATCTTGATGAATTTTGAGCAATCCTTGATGAATCATGATCAACCCTTGATCAAATGATGAAATATACTTCAAAATGAGAATGTTGACAAAAAATCTTGAAGTTTGACTGTTTATAGGTCACAGTTGACTTTTGCCCTAGCACCGTCGATTTTTGGACCCTTTGAGCAATTGACTGAGCAAACTTCCTCTGCAAGGCTTGAAATTTGACATGGTTGATCTTGAGAACATATTAGGACATTGGGGAGAAGTTGAGGTCATTCTGACTCAAGGATCTTGATGCAACACAAAACCCTAATTTGGGGTTGACTGCCTTAGGAGATAGCTTGACTGTCCAACTCTTGAGCAATCTTGAGCCACTTAGAGATTTTTCTTGCAATGTTTTGAGAAATATGAGAGGGAAAATTTTGGGGTACAACAGTACCCTATCTCGAATACGCAGGTTTTTGAAATGTTATAAAGATCTCCAACTGCACGATTGATTTAAAGTTCATACTTGCAATGTTGGAAAGGTGGAGACCAGGGACCCATACATTTCATCTACCAATAGGTGAATATACCGTCACACTAGAGGATGTGTAAAAATGTTATTGGGTCTCCCTGTCGACGGTAAGGCGGTTAACAGGTCGGTTCAACAACCCAATTCTATGTGTGAAGAATTGTTGGACAGGGATATGGTTGAAGGTGGTGGTGCGAGAGGTCGGGGTATATTACTTACTAAGCTAAAAAGTCATTATGCGACTCTGGAATTGAACGAAAATTCATCCGAGCTAGCTAAGGTAATAAAAGCTATAAATTATATAATGATACTATTTGGAACCTTTTTATTTCTCGAAAGTACGGATAACAGTGTAAATTTTATGTATTTAAATTTACTTAGAGACTTCGAAAAAACTAGAAAGTATAGTCGGGGTTCTGCTGTTTTAGCCCATCTCTATAGTTCCTTATGTAAAAATGCAATCAAGGAAAAATGTACATTTTATGGCTGCGCTTTTTTACGGGCGAATTCTTAAATCTCGACGAAGATGGTTCCCTAGTTGAATTACGGACAAGTTCTTAAATCTCAGCAGAGATGTTTTCTCAGTTGAAGTACGGGCAAGTTCCTAAATCTCGACAAAAATGTTCCTCCGTTGAATTACAGACAAGTTCTTAAATCTCATCAGAGAAGTTTTCTCAGTTGAATTACGGGCGAGTTCTTAAATCTCGACGAAGATGCTTCTCCAGTTGAATTACGGAAAAGTTCTTAAATCTCAGCAGAGATGTTTTCTCAGTTGAAGTACAGGCGAGTTCCTAAATCTCGACAAAAATGTTCCTCCGTTGAATTACAGACAAGTTCTTAAATCTCAGCAGAGAAGTTTTCTCAGTTGAATTACGGGCGAGTTCTTAAATCTCGACGAAGATGTTTCCTCAGTTGAATTACGGACAAGTTCTTAAATCTCAGCAGAGATGTTTTCTCAGTTGAAGTACAAGCGAGTTCCTAAATCTCGACAAAAGTGTTCCTCCGTTGAACTACAGACGAGTTCCTAAATCTCAGCAGAGAAGTTTTCTCAATTGAATTACGGGCGAGTTCTTAAATCTCGACGAAGATGTTTCTCCAGTTGAATTACGGGCAAGTTCCTAAATCTCGAAACCTCAGTTGAATTACGGGCAAGTTCCTAAATCTCGACACCTCAGTTGAATTACGGGCAAGTTCCTAAATCTCGACACCTCAGTTGAATTACGGGCAAGTTCCTAAATCTCGACACCTCAGTTGAATTACGGGAAAGTTCCTAAATCTCGACACCTCAGTTGAATTACGGACGAGTTCCTTTCGCTCAACAAAGATCAGACTTCCCCAGCGGAATCTTTCTCAACGGCAGGTATGCAAGCTCTCACTAAGGAATCTCTTATGCAATCGACACTTCTCCAAATGGTATCTGTATGCCCATTCTCGACATCACAAAGCAACTACCACTTCATGCGAGTGCAAATTTATTGACACTCTAGTGTTCAATCCTCTTCCACCTTCGGATCACGAAAGGCACGAAAGCCAATCTATATATATATATATATATTATGATTTGTTTTAAAAAAACTCATGGAATTAAAATTAGTCAAATTATGTGAGTTTGAACTTCAATTGCACAAATTTAATCTGTATTGAGGTTAGGTTTGTTTGTGCAAGAAGAGGAAAGTAAAGAAAATTCAATCTTTAATTTTTGTTATTTTGTTCCAATCAAACCAAAACTTCATAATATCTTGTTTATCAAAATAGTAATATATTTGTAGTAGTTATTAGACATGATCATTATGGAGAAAAATAGTCTACTTATAGTTGGATTGTTCATGAAGAACTCATTCGCCTTTTTGCTGGTTTAACATATAAGAGTGCAAAAGAAGAAGATATCATTGTTGTATCTAAGTGTGCAAGATTTAATTAGAAGACACTAATAGACTAATTTTATATATTTTAAAGGCTATATTGGTGAAGATGATAATTTAGTGATTATGTTGATGATATATTCTGAAGTTGTATGCTGCTATAATAATTCAAAAGAAAAAGGTATTGTAGTTGTATATAAATGTATCACTCAATGATAATATCAATTCAAAAGTGCCAGATATAGCTTCAAACTAGTAAATAAAATTGGAAAAAAGTACAAAGGTTTCACACCATACAATACAACAAAGATACTCCCATCATCATAACCAAACCGAATTTAATCACACACTATAAAGAAATGATGCAATGTCTATAGCATGCAAAGATAACAAGTGAAGAAGTGTTTAAGGGCTCTAGCTTGAAGAAGGTGGTGGGGAGAGAAATGGGATGGAGGGAAAAGTGGTTGGGATTGAGGTGGGAATGTTGGGAAGTGAAGTGAGTGCTGGCAATGGTGGAATGTTGAGAGATGGAATAGTTGTAGGAAAGCTAGGAAGTGGTGGCATAGTGAGTTTTGGAAGAGATGGAATGTTAGTAGGCAATGGTGGAAGACTTGCTTGAGGCAATGTTGGAATTGAAGGCAAAGGTGGCAAAGTTGTTGTTGGTTTTGGTAATGTGGGAATGGTAGGCAAATTAGGTTTTGAGGTTGTTTGCAAAAGATGTCGAGCATCTATACTCATGCTTGACATGGTCATAACAACAAGAAGTAAAACTGTGATGAAGGGTTTGTTTGATGCCATTGATAACTTGATGAACTATAGGAGATAAATAATATTTTTGTTTTGGGAGAATTTGCTTTGTGATTTTATGCTAAGCAAAGAGATAGTGGATGGTGTTATATAGAGTAAGAGTGATTTAAACAAGTGTATTTTGGAGAACTATAAAAGTTTGTTCAACTACCTGTGTTTCACTTTTGACAAAAGCATTTATATGTTCTAAAACAGCAAAAGAGAATAAAATGACAAGTGTTCATTTTATTTTTACAAATTTGGTTGGTGACTCCTAGATAATGTAGTTGCAAACAGGTGCTAGTATCTAAAAGTTGGTAATCTACACGGCTATTTTAAACCAACAACCAACAATATTATGAATTCAATATTGGATAAAACAAATTCAAATGTTATGGTCCAAATATAATAATTGGTGTTATGTTATAAGTGGAATTTTTTTATTAATAACCATGTATTAAAAAAATATTTCGCAAATAACCGGGTTTCGGAAAAAATTACGCAAATAACCATGTTTGAGATGGCTCCACAAAGGAGGAGCCATCTCATTTGGCGCATGCACCTAGGGTTTTGCCCTAGGCGCCATCTCACTTGGCGCCTCCATTGGCTTTTAGCCAAGTGAGATGGCGCATGCTCCTTAAAAAGGAGAGGAGGCGCCATCTCACTTGGCGCCTAGGGCAAAACTAGGGTTTTTTCCTGTTTTATAAATAATTCGTCCGTTTCTTTGAAATTTCTCACACTTTTTCGCACTGTATTTTTATTCTGTACTCCCTTATTTACGTAATGACGTCGCCTATGATTTTTAGCAGAGATGGTTATGTTATATTCTTCGCCACGAAACCTGCGATGAAAATGAAATTCTGGCACATTCACTCCATGGAGCGTCTGAAGCGGGAGTTGATGCGGTGGCTAGATGGAGACATCGCCGAGGGGGAAAAAATTCGAAGGATCCAGCGAAAACGAACAACAACCTCGCATGCGACAGGAAGACCTAATGTGTGGTTGGAGGAAGTCAAAACAGACAGTGATGTAATGCTGATGATGCATGGGTCAGATGAAATTGTGTTAACAGTTGTAATTTCCTAGATTGATTATCGTTAATCATTGTTGTACGCAAAAACCCTAATGTAATTTCCTATATTGAATTTCCTAAATTGTGTGAACAGTTTTATTAACGGAAAACCCATAATGTTTACAACACAAATATTGAAAAGATTTATTGTATTACAAAATTTATGTGGTCGAGCCAGACGCCCGATTCGGACAGTTTTTGCGATTATGTCCGACCTGACGGCATAAACCACACTTTCTTTCCAACCTGTCAAGATCGTCCATTTCTGTTGTTATGCGCCTGCTTTTGGGACGACCCTTCTTGTTCCTTCGCATTTGGTCATTGTGCCAAACTATATCACCGTTGTATTCAGGCCAATAGTCCGGTTTTGCCACCAAAGGAAAGTTGTTGTTGTAAACAGTGAGCAACGTTTCAGATTTATAAACGTTTGAGAGCAGTTGAAGCGCGTCTTGATGGGTATGCGCACAAGCGGAAATAACATGAGAGCAAGGCATACGAAAAGCTTGAAACCTGCCACAATCGCACCATTGAGAAGGTAAAATGACCCTGTATTCTTGTCTTGCCAGGCCTTCATTGTGGTCAATTGTCTCTTTCACAATGAAGTTGTGGCTATGGCGGTCAAACCGTGTAACCATGTGAGTGTTGGCTTTAGCACTTTCAGCCTTAATGTATTTCATACAGCTTTCACTCCATAGTTGTCCTGATTTCAAGACCGCATACCACATTTCACCTCTTTTGGCAAATAACGCAGCCATCCTAAAATACGTGGATTTCACTAAGGCAGTGATGGGGAGGTTTCGTATGCCCTTGAATACCCCATTCATTGATTCAATAAGATTTGTAGTCATATGCCCCCATCTTTGGCCATTGTCGTATGACCTAGTCCATTTTTCGACCGGTATATTGTCGATCCACGTACCGGCTTCTGGGTTAGACAAACGGATCTCGTTGCGGTAATATTTGAATGTGGGCTGTGTCAGTGCGTATCCCGCATTCATCACTGCTTTCCTCAATGTTTTGTCCTTGACCTCCCTCGAGAAATTCTGGACGATATGCCTGACGCAATAGACATGCGTAGAAGGAGGGTCATGCCAACCATTTGCCGGATTATTATAGGCACTTTCAATGGAGGCATGTCTGTCCGAGATCAAACAGAGATCTGGTTGAGGAGCCACGTGTGTACGAAGATTTTTCAGGAAAAAGCTCCAAGCACCACCGGTCTCCCCCTCGACAAGGGCAAACGCAACGGGGAAAATGTTATTGTTGCCATCTTGTGCAACTGCCATCAAAAGCGTGCCTTTGTACTTCCCATACAACCAAGTCCCGTCTATTTGTAGAATTGGTTTGCATGATGCAAACCCTGAGATGCATGGTTGAAATGCCCAAAAGACGCGACTGAATATTCCGTTGCCATGTAGTAGACTACCATCTTGAGCGTACGCTGGCAATGTTTCCAGAACATAAACACTACCTGGAGAATATGTCTTGAGTGCATTTAGGTAGCAGGGAAGTTCTCGGTATGACTCCTCCCAGTTTCCGTACACCCTTTCAATCGCCTTGGTCTTTGCTAACCACTCCTTACGGTAAGACGGAGTGTAGTTAAAAACCGTGGTGATGTGGGAGATGATTGTTTTCACCTTCAAAGAAGGGTCGTTGCTGACCAGGGATAGGATTTCTTGACAGATTAGATCATGGTTGAGTTTTCGGTGGTCTTGTGATTGAGTGGAACTTACACAAGTATGGGTAGTCATGGAACCTATGACCCAGCAGTCACCCCTTAGTCTGTATGAAGCGGTCAGCTTGAACATGCAGTCAGGGTGGACACACTTGATCTTGTACCTTTCCGGGTTTACACGATCCACCTTATAATCAACCGAGTTGAGCATGTGAAATTTTTTGATGGCCCTTATGCATTCCTCTCTATTACGAAACTTGTCCTTCTCTTTTAAATTTTCATCTGATTGCATATACGGTTGGAAAAACAAGTCCGTCGAAGGTTCATCTCCGCCCATGTTGAAGTTTGTCATGTGCGTAGGTGGTGTGTAGATTTTGTCGGTAGGAATACTTGGGATGCCATCATCGTCAGAATCGTCGTTCACCATTTCATCGAACTCTAACTCGTTATCTTCTTCTTCATCATCAACGGCATCCACCTCATCTTGCTCATTCTCCAAAGGATCAACCTCCTGTGTCACCGGAGGCTCTTGAAACAGAACGTACAACTCAATAGAGTCGTTTCCAGAATAGACATGGCTGGAAATCATGTTCTGGAAATCCTCGTCATCTTCAATTGCAACCTTATAAAATATGACTTGGTTGTTTCCAAAAAAGACTGGACTCTGATAAAATATTTGGGATATCGGGCCTCGTTCAAGTTTGGCCTCCAATCTTTTCTTAAAGTAGGAGAAATTTTCTTTCCTGTTTAAGAGAAATCGGACATTGTCGGTGTTTCTAAACAAAAACCCAACTGTGGGACACATGTATGTCTCACCGTTGAAATGTGCTTTGACAACAAATTATGGTGAAGAGGCCATTGTGTTGAATTGTTTTAGGTATGAAGGTGGGAATGTTTTGGGTTTATTGATTATATGAAGGTATGAATGCTGGAATGTTTGAAGGTTAGATGACTGGTTCGAAGGTTGGAAAATTTTACAGTTTATGTGAATGAATGTTATGTTCAACCTAAGGCAAAATATTTCAATTAAGTAAGTGATGCAACCCCCCAAGGCTGCCAATAATATTACATGCATGGGCTTATGCTGCCACCTAGCCTGGCCCTATTCTACACACATAAATGTTTTGTGTAAGCCTGCCACCCATCAACTCCAATGGCCTTGCATGCAACAGAGAAAGGAATCCCAAAGGCTGTCACGTAGCCTGAGCCAAAGGTGTAAAACGTGACACCTCTTATTCGCCAAATGGGGTGGTGACACCATTCATTTTTGTACTATTTCGCCAAGTGAGATGGCGCCTCCCTTACTGTCCAATCGTGATACATGCATGGGCTTATGCTGCCACCTAGCCTGGCCCTATAATACACACATAAATGTTTTGTGTAAGCCTGCCACCCATCAACTCCAATGGCCTTGCATGCAACAGAGAAAGGAATCCCAAAGGCTATCACGTAGCCTGAGCCAATGCTGTAAAACGTGACACCTCTTATTCGCCAAATGGGGTGGCGACACCATTCATTTTTGTACTATTTCGCCAAGTGAGATGGCACCTCCCTTACTGTCCAATCGTGATACATGCATGGGCTTATGCTGCCACCTAGCCTGGCCCTATAATACACACATAAATGTTTTGTGTAAGCCTGCCACCCATCAACTCCAATGGCCTTGCATGCAACAGAGAAAGGAATCCCAAAGGCTGTCACGTAGCCTGAGCCAATGCTGTAAAACGTGACACCTCTTATTCGCCAAATGGGGTGGCGACACCATTCATTTTTGTACTATTTCGCCAAGTGAGATGGCGCCTCCCTTACTGTCCAATCGTGATACATGCATGGGCTGCCACCTAGCCTGCAAGAGTGACACCTTACATTATTTGTAAATGCATGCATGCATATGTGTAACTCCCTAAGCATGCAAATGTGACACCTCGCAGGCATGCAACCACTACATCAAAATTATTTGCCTATAAATACATACCTTATGAAACATCTCTCACACCCACACAACTCTCACTCTCTGCTACGAAATATTTCTTAAGTCTATCATACTCTCTATTTCTTCCTAAGTCTTTCATTCTCTCAAGCGTTCTGAAGAATGGCCCTTCTAACAATGGGAGAAACTCACAGAGGCACAAGGGAAAACATTGCTGCATTTGTAAGTCTCTTCTTTGGTTATACATTTTCATACTTTAAAAAACGTGTTGTTCATCTTAATTAATCTTACTCTTGTTTAATTATGATCTCAGGATACACAAAGATTCAGAATCC